TGAAAGTGAAACCTTCTAAGCAACTTATAAATATAATATTAAAGAGCACCTGTCATTTCAGATCGATCATGGCAGTGCCTGTTTAGTGGGCATCCACTCATCTGCTGCCTTATACATCCCTCACTTTGTTGTGTCACTGCTGCATGACCAGCCATCCTATTAAAGTGAATGGGACTGACAGTGAGTCAACAGCGGGTCAAAGGAGGAGCTTTGGGATGACAGTTGCTCTTTAAAAATCATGATTTAAATTGAGTTGATTTACAACTTTAATCATTTAGTGATTGAAATCATGATTTAAATTGACTTGATTTAAATCAAATCCGCCTTGTTTCAAAGTCTATTAAAATAGCGATATTGATAATGTCTTCCATCCTTCCGAGGTGGGTGAAATGAGGACCCGGACTGTGGGGGCAAGTTGCTGACTCAATTTGCTAAAAAAAAATTGTAAACCGCTTAGAGAGGGCTGAAAGCCCTATGAAGCAGTATATAAGTCTAATAAATAAATAAAAATAAATAAATAAAGTACATATGCAATGCCTTTGAAAAATGTTCATTATTAGCATTCACATTTATCATTCTCAAAGCTTCACTGAGCTTGTTAAAAGACAACCAATAAACTGAAAACACTTTTACATCATTTTACCTTTTTACATAATCAGTTATCTTAACAAAGAACTCACTTTTTTCAAGATGCAAAAACAATTTTGGCATTGAAGCAGGTGTCTCAATATTCCGCCTTTTTGGCTGTGGAGAAGCGCTGCTTTCTGACAGCCTATCACAGTTGGACGTGTGACGCGTAGAACGCCTTAGAGACTGCAAGATTTCAGGTTCAGTTTTTCTGCGTTTAGGTGTTACAGGTTCTCCTGTTGCAAACTGACTATCTGTGGATTGTGGAGTTGATGGATTCAAAAGAGGTGGGCTTGGAGAAAGCTCTTCTTGATTTCTGATCAAATAAAAAAATATGGTGAACCACGATGTTGAGTAGTTATTGTGGTCCAGTATGCAAGGCCAATAAAGAACATTTTAAATAGTAACAATGTAACTTTAACATTATTGAAATGTCTTCTTTCAGCTTACTAGCTGGCAGTAAAAATTATAGTTTTATGATTACAGGTTTTAAAAAATGCGATTAAAACCATTCTATTTCTTGAAAGGAATGCAAAAAACCAAACCCACCTGTTGGAATTTGCTACACTCTCTTTTATTGGTAGAAAAAATTTGGAGGATGTCACCTTCTTAAACTGTGCTTGCTCATAAGGATACAGCAGAATAAGAGGAAGAGTGAAGTCAAAGGTTATTCTTAGGCCATCCACCATTTCTTTACATAACTCAACACTAGAAAAATAGGATTACAAAAGAAATAGGTACTTTATATAACAAAGTTTATGTAAATATCTGATTTATTTTGAAGAACAAAGTCATAACAATCAGTATTATTTATCAAACTTGTATGCTGCCTTTCTTGCTTAAGGCAACTATTATAATGTCTCATACTGTTTTTGGAATTACTACTACTATTAGCTCAAGTATATATTTGGGGTCAGAATCACTCAATTGAAAACAAGCCAAAAATAATGCTCACACAGCTACAATGAAGTGACAACTTTTTTTAATGTGTTTTTTCCTACATTAAAGAATTGAAAGTTGCTCCCAACAGTATGTGTTAGTTAACCTGAGTACTATATGACCTGATTTTTTTTTCATATTTCCCTTCTAAAGCCTGATTTTTCAGATTAATGAAATGACTTTAAAAATATTCAATAATTTTAAACAAAGTATACTAATGTAATAAAAGTTAAAGAATAAATAATAGTTTAGATTAAAAGAAAAGAGAAAATGCAGTGATTTTGACAGAATTAAAATTTTTGGAAATCGATGAGAGGCTAAGTAAAGAATCTTCCCTAGGATGGAACTCAAAAGTGATGGAATGATTTGTGCTAGAACTGAAAAGAAGGAATATATGTACTCCTTGGCTTCCAATCAGTTTCTTAGCAACCTTTTGAAGTTGTGATATAGTGCCCCCATAAGGTACTTAGACCCAGTTCTGATAGCTATCCCCCCCCCCCGCAAGTCATTTGACCACATTTTGAGTGCTCAGCAACTGACCTGCATTTATAGCTGTTTGCAGCATCTTGTAGTCATGTGAATGCAATTTATGACATATTTGTCAAAAATTGGGCTTTACATCCTGGTTTTGGCAAAAAACACCCCATAGGGAATAATGGGTTCACTTAATAACTGCATATTTGCTTAATGATCATGGATTGGCTTAATGACCACTACAAAGAAGGTTGTAAAATTGGGTCAGTCAGTTGGATGACTCACTTTATGACTGACATGACTTATAACAGTAATCGGCAGAGTCCATTAGAGTCATAAGTCCAAGACTACCTCTAACGAAGAGTATTTTAGAAATATGTGTAAGAATGATAGTGATATGTTAAAGAATGGAACATAAGAAATGCATGTTATGTCAATAAAAAGTTGATGAAAAGAAAGTTGTACTACAGTATTATAGAAAATTGAGAATTAGGCAAATGATATAGCTGGAAAAAAGTTAAAATATGAATATAGTTAAATAGCCTTATTAAATGGCTATTTGACTTATTTCAACAGCTATATGAACAGCATTATTGTTTCTTTATACAAAGTGAAGTGAATGCAAAACTACAGGAAATAAATTTATTAAGCTTGCTAATACCTAAATAGTTGAAATTAAGTAAAGCTTTTCATTTTAACACTTAAGACATAAAATTAAATAGTGTTTGCTTACTTTTTTTCTGGTGGGATATAATGGAGATTCAAGTTAGTATGTGAAGTCATTTGATGGTGTCGGGATCTCTCATTGGCTGAAAAAGCTGCATTAATGGCAAAATGCTTTACGTATGATTCCAAGATGGTTATTATATTTGTCTGACATGGCAGTTTCACAAGCTAAATTAAAAGAAAACAAATTAATTAATTTACACATTATCTGTTCATACTTTCAAACAAGCACAGTCTTATACAGACAAAATTGATATTTTTAAAAAAAGTTGGACACCCTTCACACACCTTGCGGTCAAACCTATTCTCCACTCTCTTATAACTGGTTTGCTCACTAGCCTACAATCTGGACAAACAAGAATAAACAAGTATGATACAAGTACAGCATATTTTTCATCCCACTAGTTTTATTTTTCTCCTTCCCTGTCAAGCCTTGTGTATCTGGCAAGACCAAGAAATCAAGAACAAAGATGTCAATAGGCTATACTTAAAGCCAGGGTGAAATAAATACAGAATTCTATAAACAATGATAGCAATTTTGAAGTTTCATATACTTGTCCATGCAGTCTTTGAGAATTAGACACAATTGAATGGAGAAAAAGAAATTATGGTTGAGTCTCGCCAGAGCAGTTTTTCCTACTTCTCTCAGTCATTGCCCTTGAATTGCCTTTTTTGAAATAAACATGGAACTGACTTGACTCTAGCATTCCCACAATTTCTTGTTCCGTAATCATTGTTAAGTCCTTAAAGGGAAATTTAACAAACTCATAGATAACAAATATATCAATGGTTATTACTCTCAGTTCTATTTCCAGGGTAAGAAATGCTTCAAATATCAGTTGCAGGGAAACCACAGCAGGAGACGGATATGTCTTCATTTCCTGTTTGTGAGCTGCCTACAGGCAATTGGTAAGTCCGTTACTGGTTGCCTGTAGAAACCATAAACAAAATGCTAAACTAAGATGGACATTGGCCAGGCCAGAAGGGCCAGTCTTAGGTTTCTATCATTAAAACTCAGAGATCAGAAAGTCAGAAAAGCTGCAATAAGAATAAAATAAAAGGGTGAGTTGTTACATTTAGAATTAAGAAACAAGCTGCCTTAGTGTTTTCACTAAGGAAACTGAGTTTACACTTTTCTCATATAAGTATTAGGACCGTATTTTTTTCAGTTTAGTAGCCTAATTTAAGGCAAGATATAAAGTTTCTTTCTTGTCGATTATATGATTAATAATTAATTAATTATTAATTAATTAAGAATTAATTCAGATAAATAAGAAATTACTTTAATGTATTTAATAAAATAAATTTATTTTTCCTTGACAACATCCAAGAATTTTAATGTACCGATGCTACCTCTATGCCACCTCAAGGCTAATATGCGCTCAGGGAAGCTGTGGAATAGAAAAAGCAATCAAAATGGAGAAATAATCTACTTCTTTCAAAGTCAATAAAACAAATTGCTATTAAATTGTATTGTAGAACACTTTTTCGCTAGTTTCCATATTTGCTTGCATAGGTTGTACATTTATATACAGTCATCTAGTATCAAATCCTACTGAACTTAATCAGTCTTGTAACTGACAAATTGTGCATGCGATTGCACTGTCAAATAATGTTAATTTTTGCATACAAGTATTTAATATTACTATATCCAATTATCTTAATTTGCATAAAATGTTTCATACCCTTTTTCGTCTATTAATATAATAACAATCCTCTTCAAGTTTCTTTTTCAAGATTTCAGGAATTTCAATGTTTATTGCTCTTTCTTCCATCTCTCTTTTAGCATGAGTCTCTTGCTCTTCTTTCTGTATCAATATAATCAACATTAAAAAAAACCTTAAATTTACTTATGCTGTATTAAATATAATAAATTATTAGGAATATTGAAACTATATAATGAGGCATATATAATGTTGCAGATCAAGGCAAAGAGAAACATCCCAAATAGGTTTATTCAAGATAAAAGTCTATTTCTGATCTATAACGGTGTTTTACAAAATCTACTTTCTTTTCAGTCTCTTTCCTAATTATCCTTAGCATGGAATTTGCCTTTTTTACAGCTATGAATCAACATTCTTACTGATCTGCTTACTAGAAGTTCCTAGTTCATTACAGATAATAGCAATCCATTAAAGGACAAGTCCTCTACTCTCCTAAATGCCCCATGACTGCTAAACTTACTGAAATGCCTTTGACAAGAAACTTTATCAAAGTGTTGTTGAAAGTTATGCAATGGTCATTCCCCTCTAGGTTCTTACTAATAATTTTTTTAAAAATCCTCCAGAAGGTTGGTGAAGCAGGATTCACATTACAAGATCAAAGCCAATTTCCCTTCCAGCACTTCTTGTTCTTTTCTGTGTGTTTAATTTTTTTAGTTCTTTTTTTATTAACATTCTAACAATTTGTTTAGAAAAGTTAGCTGATCATCATGCAATTTCCCTATCTCCCTGCATCTCCTTGTCTTTTTAAAGAGCAGATAATATACTTCAATTCAATTCATGAATTATGCAATGGATACCAGTAACCTGATCATTTCTTTTAAGAATTATTGTCTAGATCTAGGGTCATAGATTAGGGTGAGGAAGTTCTGCATCCAGCCCCCAAATCAAAAGTTGTAATAAGTACATATATTCTACAGTGCAAATTTGAACTGATTTTAGATAATAAACATTGCTTTATGGACAAAAATGTTCATATATTTATAATTTCAAACTAAAATTTAAGATGTGTTATAGATAATTCTTGACTTACAACCATAATTATCTCAAATTTTGGTTGTAAGTTGTTGTGGTCCTAAGTTGAGTTAAGTGACTGGACTTGGTTTAATGACTGTTTTTGTGACACTCATTAACTGAATCACTGTAGTTGTTAAGCAAACCACATAGTTAAGCAAATCATATGATTGGTCGTAAGTTCAAATTCAGTTTATGCAAAAGGCATTTCTGCCATGACTGTAGGATTCTGCAGCTGGCTGTCACGTGACCACAAAACATTGCGAGCCAGTAACATTGAGGACTGTTCATAACTTTGAGTCTATCATAACTCTGAACAATCACTAATCAATTGGTTGTAAGTCAAGGACAACGTGTAGTTCTGACCAGTTTAACAACTTAATATCATATTTTAACCCAAATGTTATAATGTCTCTATATCAGTGGTTCTCAACCTGTGGGTCGGGACCTCTTTGGGGGTTGGACAACCCTTTCACAGGGGTTACCTAAGACCATTGGAAAACACATATTTTTGAAAAAATATGGAAAACATAAAATAATCTTATGGTTGGGGGTCACCACAACTGTACTAAAGGGTCGTGGCATTAAGAACCACTGCTCTGTATTAACCTGTATTTTTAATAATATTTGTTAACCTGAACCTGAAAATGTGAAAATGTTTTATAAAATCACATGATTTATTGAGACTTGTTTTATAAAACAAAGGTACTTTTTAACGGCTTCCTTTCTTCCCCACCGGCATCTACATATCTTAGTTATCCACTCTAAAATTAATATTCTTATTCTTTATACTTAAATTGATTTGACAAAATTTACGGTATATAAACATACCATTTCTATCTTTTCATCAATGTCACTTTCTTCACTCTTTAGCTCCTCTTCTGTTCCTTCATCACTATCATCATCAGAAGAACTACTTATAGCTGTTTAAAAAAGAAATGAATTACTTTTCACATTTAATGATTTGTCACGATGTTACATTGTTAAATTTTAAAACCACGACAGCCTATTAACTAGAATTCCTAGTTGAATTATAGAATCTAAACAAACCACAAAAATGTTTTTTAGGCTATTTATTTCCAAACATAAATAATAGGAATTGGAAGTTTACCTTTTCCAAGATGTAGAATGTTACGGAATCTGAATTGGTTTCATGGGAGTATTATTTTGGGCACAGTGGTGGGTTTCAAAAATTGTTCAAACCTACTCTGTGGGTGTGGCCCCCTTTGTGGGAGTGGCTTGCTGCCCATGTGACCGGATGGGAGTGGCTTACCGTCCATGTGACCGGATATGAAGATGCCGACGACACTTGTCAGAACCACCTTAAATTACCTCACACACAGCACTGGCATGCATAAGAATATGATGTAAACTTGTTTTTTAAAAGGCATCTTTGGTTTGCGTTAAAACAACTTCAACAAACGCAATGTTCTGATTGCACCACAAACGCAGTAGTCATCCTTACCTTTCACAGAGGCACTGAGTTTTATAAATATGAGCATGATAGTGTAGAATAATCATATCCAAGGACCGGTGGTGGGTTTCAAAAATTTTTGGAACCTCTTCTGTAGGCTTTCCGGGTCCACTGGTGGAACCTCTTCTAACCGGTTCGGTAGATTTGACGAACCGGTTCTACCGAATAGGTGCGAACTGGTAGGAACCCACCTCTGGTTGGGCACCACTTTATTGTGATCTTGAAGCATTTTTAATGACTAAAGCGTTAGATAGGTAGGGCAAGTTACTTACATCTTGTAAGGTCATTTGAGATTCTTTTGAGCTTGTGGAAGAGACAGAGGAAGCAGATGGGCTCTTCTAGAGCATGAATTCTGCTCCCTGAAAGCTGGATCAATAAACTGTGTGGATGGACAATATGTGGTAAACTTGGGAGATGGTAAACATTTAAGAAAGGGATAATGCCATCGGTCTTGAAAAAAAGTGATTATATAATCATTTCTAAACAGATCATCTCTTGATCCAACCATGCAATAGCCTGGTCAATCTCCAATCTTCTCAATATGGTTTCAGACTTGACATAGAAGGGAAACAGCATTGCACACTCTTGTGAATAATGGTCTATATATGGAGGGAGGGAATTGCATTCCTCCTGGTTTCATTGGCATTTGATACTATCTATCATGCTACTAGAAAGCCTACAGCATTTAAGCACTGGAAGCACTGTCTTCTATTGGTTCCACTCCTTCTTTAGCAGGTAGCTTCAGTACGGTACATAAAAAAGGTAGTTGTTTCAATATGAAATAACCCAATTTTGATTTCCTTTCACACTACTTACCATCTACAGGAAGTTACTACAGAAGAAATCTTTAGTTTGGGACTAGATATCATAATATGTGAATATATTGCCTTCCTAGAATATTATGAAAATACTGACCTGTGTCTGGAAAGTTCAAAGCAAGTTCTACAAGACAGAAGTCTGTCTATTGTTAAGAAATCTAACTTTATTTTGGCTTTGATTTGAGCTCCTGATGGGTATAGTGATCCACATCTTAAAAAGCAGGTAATTTGGAATTCTTCTGAATTACAGCTCCAATCAAAGCAACAAATGGAAGACTGGCCACGGTTTGTTTGTTTTTTTGTTAACTCAGGTTAATGCAGAGGGCATAGGCAATGATTTGAAGATCAAGAGGAAGAATCACTATCTAGGCCATGGATGTCAAACCTGCAGCATCACGTTGCTGTCACATGATGTTTAGCGAAGTTTTTCCCTTTGCGGAGCTGGAGTAGGTGTGGCCTGCGCATGACATATCTGGCCTGCGGGATGCCAGTTTGATACCCCTGATCTAGGCTATGACCAGGAAAGTGGAATGTCATGTTATCTGTGGGCCCACTTCCTCCCTCAGGATATTTGCCCATCCACAAGTCAGGACCCCTGTATCAAATGATGTCAATTTATAATGATATGTAGGAATGATCTTGTGAGACAAGAGCAAGAGACATAAACTGGATAATTGGCATATAAAATAGCAATAGAACTTAGATTTAGATACCGCTCCATAGTGCTTTATAGCACTCTCTGAGCAGTTTACAAATGTCAGCATATTGCCCCTAACAATTTGGGTCCTCATTTTATCAACCTTGGAAGGATGAAAGACTGAGTCTCCCTTGAGTGATCAGGATCTTGGCTGTGGGCAGATTTGCCTGCAATACTGCATTCTAAATACTGCACCACCAGGGCTCAGTCCACAGAAGGGGAATGGAAAGCATTACAGAAGGGATCCTTCCTAGTTTTCCAGAGAGTAAAAGGAAAGATGGGGTTACTGTTTTTTTACATAAGTGGTTTGATGATTATTAGCTACTTAGGCTATATTGTACAAGATGGGCAACCATATAACTTTTATAAATATATAAACATCTTAAGACCTGGCTGTTCTACTGACCATTTGTGAGCTATCTTTTAAATTAATAATTGTTTGTTTTGTTACATGTATCCCCTAGTTTCTGTAAACAAATTTAATTGGTAGGATATATAAATATATAAAGAATAAAAAATAATAAATCTAGGTTATCCATCTGGTATTGTTGACAAATGCCTACATTTGCTGGATATTTTAGTGCTTTGACTCTTTTCCTGAAATATATTTACTTTCAAAACCTGAACTTGGAAGCCTTATGAAAGTTCTTTAAAGAACACTTGATTCAGTAATATATAAAATAACTGACTTAAAAAGAATCCCAGAGTGTATATTTAGTATATTCCTTAGTTATTTTTAATGTATTAGTTAAATTCAATTATCCAAATAGATAATAAAAAGAGAAAACAATCCATTGGTCTATATCTATTTATATTTACAATTTATGTTGTACAATATATGTTACAATTTAAACTACAACTATCTTAATCAACATTTCATTTAAGTTGCAAGAACCCATGGAAGAGAACATAACCATTTTCCTATTTATTAAGTATAATAATATTTAATTATTATATACAATTTTAATTAGATAGCGCAAGCATCCTCTATAAGCCAACTTACAATTTTCACTAGTCTTTTCATTCTCTTCAGTAGGAAGGACCTTTAGTACAGAATCAACACCTGGCAATCTGCAACGCCCTTTCTTTCCTTTTCTTCTCCTAAAAAAGATTGAACATAGGTTACCATGTAGCTAACATGACTATTAGCAGTAAAAGTAAAAATTAGCACTGAGAAAAGGGGGCATATTTGTGTCTTTCTCTGAACATAAAAATATAGTTTTCCAATATACAAGAGTCAATTCATACACAATACAGATTAGTGACGTATCTTCTTTTTCCCTCTCCATAGCTTACCACTGAGCAGAGCCTAGTTTACTTTTGTCTAATAATCTATCATGTTATCTAAGCCAAAATAAAACCTATTTTAAGAATTAATAATAATAAATCAGCAGGATAAATCAGCAAGTAATTCCCTTTTCCATAAGAACAGCAAAAAAGGAAAACCTATCTTGTTTTTCTACCTGCTACTAATAAGCATTCTCCTCATTTTATAAAACTCCTAATCAGAAATGATTTTCCTGGCATTATATCATATGTGACCTTATAAGGGCACCAAATATTTTACAGTACAAAATATTGCATGCTTTAAAAAATGGGAAAAATCATCTGCACATATAGAATAGCTACATCAAATATCCAGAATTAAAGACACTGCAGCTGGTACTGAAATTAAGTCTTCTGAAAATGACTTAAACTATTTCAAAAAAATGTGTTAACCATATTTGATCCTTACATGCGAGCAACAGCTTTTCTTGCCAATTTGCGCTGTAATCTGCGGTTTTCATCAGTGTCACGAAGTACATGATCTTCAGCTGCCCATCTGTCCCAACTAAGTAGTTTTTTTTTTAAAAAAATCAATAATAAAATATTTTATTATAGAAGATGTCTGCCAAGCTTATTGAATGTATCAGATAAACAGCAAATGAATTTGAACGTTACCATGCATATATCTCCTAAACTCCCAACTAATCTTAAGTGGCACTCTGTATGAGTAGGTAAAATACATTTATTCCATTAATACAGGTAGTCCTTGACTGTTATTATTTAAACAATGATGCTACTATACAAATGGCATAAATCATCTGGGGATTTTGTAAAGTTAAGATAAAATTAACAGAATTGCTTTATTCCAATTATTAATGCCATCTAGGGGGATGTTAAGATGGAAATTTGATTTGCGCGTAAAATCTGCTGAATCAAGATTTCAAATGACTTAAAATTAAAGACAAAAATATGCTGGCAATCAGGGTACTATGCAGCTTACTATGCAGATTAACTACCAAGGACTTGTGATTTAGCAGCACTTTGTACCAGCAGAAGCTTCCAAATCATTTTTAAAGTCAATAGGGACATATTAGAGTCCAAGCTTCATCTAGAGTAGTATGGATTATATCTGAATTACTAATTGTCTCCTAAATTTTTTAAATTTAAATTTGCTCACCTTCTATTCCAACCATTAAAATGGATCAGATATTCTGGGACCTTTCTTCCTTTCTCATCTTTTCCAATAACAATATCAACAATCTAAAATCAAACACATATATTCTTATACAAACACTTTTATAGGCAAGCACTCAAATTATTAAAATCCTTTTTTACAATTCAATGTCTTATAACATAGGAGTCTAGGCAAAGTAATTAAGTACATATCCCACCATTTCATTTTAAAAGAGATTGTTGTTGTTGTTGTTGTTATTGTTGTTGTTATTTTTGTTGTTGTTATTATTATTTCAGAGATTAAATGCAATATTTGTATGCAATAACATCTCTTCATTACAAAAAAAATTAAACCATCCGGAATAAACTACCTCAATTTGCAACAAATATAAATAACTATATTGAGTTTTGGTATTTATTTTCTTTAAAATTCAAAAAGGGATACATGATTGAAGTGGGCAAAGGTGTCATAACACCACACAGCCTGCAACAGCAGTAATTCCATGATATCACAACATGTTAATTGGGTGTTATTGTGATGTGTGTCATATTCTATAGAACGGATCCAAGAATATTATCAACAGGCAATTTCTGTGAATATAAATTGTCAAAGTTGTTTTTCAGTTAAATGTTTGTTCCAAATATGATTTAATTGCTACTTGTCACTGGATTTTCAAATTTTGATTTCTTGCTTACTTTAAGAAATTCATTAATTCCCCCTTCCAAAAAGTAGAAATAATTTGCTTTAAAAACTTATTACTGTTTATTTTAAAAACTCTTATGTACAATTGACACATTTATATTATTGGCTATGTGAAATCCATATTATCCCTGCTTCATTTCATTCCCAAGCAAGTCAGATGACAAGAATCCAGTAAGGGAGGGGTTCCCAGCCCACGGCCCACTACTATGCCATGGCTTATTCAGAACTGGGCTGCTCAAGCAGCGGGTCGGCATCAATCCATGTGCTGCTCAACTTGTGTGAGTGGCAGGCTGGCATGCATGCACACACGCAGCTCATCTTCCACAAGTCAAGCTGCGTGCACATGCGTGCCAGCCCACTGCTGGAGCAGCCTGATTCCCCTCTCCCCACACCAATTGGGCCACCAAGTTGCAAAGGTTGGGAACTGCTGCAGTAAGTGAAGCATCACTCCTCAAGCTCAGCCTTCATGATTAAGTAAAAATCAACTGCTTCCTCTTGGAATATTTTGGATATTTCTTCACATGTTTCTTATCCTACCTTTATTATTTGAAACTTTGCAGGCTATATTTGGCCCATATGAAGTAGTTCCTGGAATTCAGGCATCTCACTTTGAAGCAAATTATTTATAGAATATAGAGGTGAAGGGGATCTTGGAGATCTTCTAGTCCAACACCCCTGTTCAAATAGGAGACCCTATTCTGAGAAATGATTATCCAATCTTTTCTTTAAAACCTGCAGTGATGGAGGACCCACAACTTCTGAAAGCAAGTTGTTCCATGGATTAATCGTTCTGTCAGGAAATTTCCCCTAAATTCTAGGTTGATGAATTTCCATTCATTGCTTCTTGTCCTGCCTTCAGTTGCTTTGGAGAACAGATTGAAACCCTCCTTTTAATGGCAACCCACAAATATCGGAACACTATTATATCACCTGTAATCCTTCTTTTTGTTAAACTAGACATATCCAATTCCTGCAAACGTTCTTCATGTGTTTTACCTTCAGGTTCCCCAATTATCTTTATTGCTCTTGTATGAACTCTTTCTAGAGTCTCATTGTCTTATATTGAGGCAACCAAAATATATATCAAGTTGAAAAATCCAAATTTAATTGCACACCTTAATTTAGAATACAGGAGCAATTCTGCATAAGGAAAAACAATTATTACAATGCCCAAATCTATCAAATAACTGTCACCAGTCCTTAATTTTATAAATATAGGAATATGTTAAATTATTCCATTTTTAAATCGTGTGTGTGTGTGTGTATGTATATGTGTGTGTGTGTGTGTGTGTATGTATGTATGTATGTGTATGTGTGTGTATGTATGTGTATATATATATATATATATATATATATATATATATATATATATATATATATATAT